AGGGGCACAGTGACACAGGCAACAGACAGGGGCTGACAGAAACCTCAGATCTCGGCGTCTGTGCAAACATAGGAAGTGGCTAGGGTAGCAGTGGCACACAGGAAGACTTTCTTTTCTTTGGAGGAAAAAGTACTCATGAGCAACTGTAGGAAACATGGACATAATTCTATAAACTGTAATGCTCAAAGCAATAATAAAATACAGGCGATGCATAAGGCTTTGTAGTTTTGCAAAGTGAGTTCACATGTATTATTCCATTAGCTGTCCAAAGTTGTGTGTTGCAGAGGACAGGCCATACATTTTCAATGTCACTGTGATCCAGCAGAACCCAGAGCTTAGCCGAAAGCTATTCTTTGAGAATTTTGTTCAAGTCTTTCAATTTGTTAGTGATTCTAAAAACTACCGTACTCATTTCTTTTCTGTTTGCTGTGATAAAATACCACGACTAAGACAACTTATGCAAGGAAAAGATTATTTCAGTTTACGGCTCCGGAGAGCTAGAGTCATAATGGCAGGACTGCATGACAGCAGGTGGCAGGCACGGCAGCCGGGGCTGGAAGCTGTGACTTGAAAGCTCACATCTCAACCATGAGCATGAAGAGAGAGAGAAAGCACACTGGCATGGGGTGGGGCATTAAGCTCTCAAAGCCCGCTCCAAGTGGCATACTTCCTGCAGCAAGACCACACATCTCCTGAGTCTCCTCAAACACTGTCACCAACTGGGGACCAAGCATTCAAATACCTGAGACCAGGGGAACATTTCTCAATCAAACCACTACACTAGCAATTTTATGTTCATATCCCACAATCACATCAAAGTCATTCGTGTGTGTGTGTGTGTGTGTGTGTGTGTGTGTGTGTTATATAAGGTATATATATATATACCATATATATATATATATATATATATATATATATATATATGCCTTTCTTATTGCCCTACAGATCTTACTTTTATACACTGTTTTTCTTCCTCAGCCTTGCTCACTATTCCGACACATTGTAAAAGTCTAGTTTTGTTTGTTTGTTTGTTTGTTTGGCAATGTTAAGGATTGAGTCCGGAACCTCATCTACACTAAGCCAGTGCTCAACCACTGAGGTACGTCCCCAGCCCTAAAAATTCTCATCTTCTACCCTCCAGCATAAGCCATCTGATTTTTCATACATATGTTACTTCTTTCTAATTGTAAAATAGTTTGCAAATCTACATCCTGTCTATCTCATTGTTTACTGATTAATCTGTCTGACTGCTCTATTTTTCTGACTTGGACTCCTCCTTTGTTTGGCAAAATATGATGCTATAGTAATTGTGATGAGGCTAACTGGAAAAACCATTTGGAAAATCCGACCTAAAAGTTGGGACCAAGCAGCTGTCTAAACACAGTAACCACTCTTATTTATACCACTAAGGAATGACACGTTTCTGGACCATGAAGGGTCCCCACCTTATTTAAGCTAAGGCAAAAGTTTAAAAAAAATGGAAAGACACAAATATTATTTTTCATATCCATAATCCTCAAATAATAGTTGTTTTTAACTACTTAGCACCATAGCACAGTATTTGATTGCATCTACTCACTTTAGAGAGTATAGGAAAGAATATGACACGCCCAATGTGTGTCAGGTTTGGAATCATATTTAGAATGAATAGTGTTTGGGAGAGTCCAAGGCCAAATGCTGAAACACAATTCAGGTTGATAAATCATTTTACAAACCCCATCCATTCCTCCACTCACTCCAACTCTCAGAACACCCCACTCGAGACTTTTCTCTGTATGCAGAATCTTTTGAAATGACAAACATGGTCTAAGCCCTAAAATCCGTGAAAGCATTATTCTCACAAGGCAAAACCTACAATACCACTAAATTTTATTCTCTCCACTATCCTGCAGGCCGTTGGTCATCAAGGCTCACAAATTCAGCTAATATCCTGGGTCTCATCAATGCTTCCTTCTCCTTCCCATCCTTGCTTCTTGTGCCAGCATACATCTCTTCTCATTTGAATTGATACATAAATACTCACCTAATCTCTTCCTCCTCAGTTTCCCCCTTCAAGTGCTGATTCATACAGCCAATAGAATGATCTAATAAAAATCAGATCATGCGTGTTCATTTCCGCTTTAATAAAGACCACTTTTCACAAAAGAACCTGAGATTATTAAAGAAAGTCCCACCAAAGCAGAGGGCATCACTATGGGTTCAGAACTAGACCTTGCAGGATAGATGACCAAGAGCTATCAATTGATGAATTAATTAGTTCCCTACTTATCAATTCAACCTCATTTATTATCATACTCCCATTCCTCTCCAACTGTACTCTCAGCATGAGTTCATCTCCTGAATTTATGCTCTTGTTGGAATTTGCCCTTATCACCGAACACTCATCCCACTTAACCAATTGGCTATTGTTTAAGATGTTTCCAAACAGCCTAGACGTCCATCAGTGGATGAATAAAAATATTCCATTTACACAATGGAATGTTATTTATCTGTTGAAAATGGAATTATGAAATTTTCTAGGAAAAAAAATCATCCTGAGTAAGGTAACACAGACCTAAAAAGACAAATGTTTTATGTTTTCTCTTATATGTGCACGTTAGATTTTGAGCATTCAATAGGCATGCTACAATCCATATAACCACAGGGATTAGGTATTGAGTAAGGCATTAGTGGGTAGGGGAGGGTCTTCTTCTATGGAGAAACAGTCAGAAGACTAGAGCAGGAAGATTGAATGGAGAGAAGGATAGAAAAAGTGAGTAAGGAAAAGGATTCAGGGAGAAACAACTAACACTACGGGCCATTTGGGAAGTCATATGGAAACTTACTATTGTAGAAGCTTCTTAAAATATATACATGTATGAAAAAAATCTAAATGGAGTCAGCAAATAATGGGAGAGACAATGTCCCAACTAGACATCTTTCACCACCAAGTGAAACCTCCAGTGCTAGACAGGACTGGGTTTCATCTAGTTGAGTCATTGGTCAAAGTGTCTTCACGGAAATCCCCAAACATCTCAGACTACTGCCAAGGCTATTGTTTGCTCTACAAACTGATGGCAAGTCCCTATTGCTGAAGACAACACTTACATATCACACTGACATAGAGAAGCTAAGCTGGTACCTAGCTACAGCCTTCACCCATATTGACTATTGTTTGTGGTCCTAGAAGGTACTCTGCATTCTACCAGAAAACAGGCATAGCAATAAAATGACTCCCAATGACATGCTGCTATTCCCATAGATCAGAATCTGGTTCAGCCATCATCAGAAAAGCTTACTCTTAGTAGTAGATGGGAACTAATACAGAGACCCATAACTGGACAGTGTAGCGAGTAGGAGATTTTGGAATACTCATTCCTAAATGAGACATCTTGATCAAACCCCTCCCCTCTAAGCTCAGGGAGCTATTCAGAAGAGGGGGCAGAATGATTATAAGAGCCAGTAGGAATGGATCACCCCAAGAAAACAGTGTCTTCCAGGCACAACTGTAGTTGTTTTTTTCCTCACTCTTTGCTCTTTGAGGGCCCACCACCCAGCTCTCAAATAAATACAGGAGAATTATTATTACTTATAAATGCCCAATCTTAGCTTGGCTTGTTTCTATTCAGTTTTTCTTAACTTAAATTATCCTGTCTACCTTTTGCCTCTGGATTTTTACCTTGTTCTATTTCTGTATACCTTTTCTTTCCATCTCATTCCATGTCTGGCTGTATAGCTGGGTGGCTGGCCCCTTGCATCCTCCTCCCTTCCTTTTCTTCCATCTCTTCTTTTTTCTTTCTCCTTCTATTTATTCTTTCTACCAGGCAGCCTGCCTATACTTTCTCCTACTTAGCAATTGGCCATTCAGCTCTTTATTAGACCATCAGGTGTCTTAGGCAGGCAAAGTAACACAGCTTTACAGAGTTAAGCAAATGCAACATAAAAGAATGCAACACATCTTTGCATCATTAAACAAATATTCCACAGCATAAACGAATGTAACGCATCTTCAACTAATGTTCCACAACACACACCAGGACTTACACATTTAACTCACAGAGACTGTAGCAACATGAACACAGTTTGCACAGGTTCAAACCGGCAGGGTTCCAATACTGAGAGGGAAAGGTGGACCTAAGTTCCCACTCCTAACCAAGAAGTCATCTCCAATTGACACCCACTTCAAAGGAAAACTTTGTTTTCTCCAATGAAGTCTCAATGGTTATTTTAACCACACTTAGGGGCAGGTCCCATATCCAGCAGTAGATGACCAACACAAAATAAACTCACTGGTGTTTCTACAAATTTTTTTTGTCTCATATTGCTTTGTTTGGGCTTTTTGTGTGTGTGTGTGTGTGTGTGTGTGTGTGTGTGTGTGTGTGTGTGTGTATTACTAGTCTTTTACAGTTTTGTGTTTTATGAGATTTTATTGTGTATGTGTTTCTTTGTGTATGCATTTCTTGTGTTTTCACTTTTTCTTAATTCTGGTTTGTTTGGGTTTTCTTCTTTCTTTATCTTGTGCCTTATTAAATTGTGTATTTTAACTTAAACTCAAGAACAAATGAAGAGACAGTTTGGCAAAATTTGCTAAAATAAACCTAGCATTACATTCTAGATATAAGTCACCAAAATTGTTCACAGGAGTAAATATGGAGAAATCAGGACAGAATCATTCTATGACACATAAACTATTTAGAAATGGCCTTGGTCATTTTTGTTGTAAGTGCGTAAAATTGTTATTTAATAAACTCACAAATTCTCACCACAATTAACAGCTATTTGGATGATTCTAAAAAACAAAGGGTGATAAAGGTAAACGGGAAGAAAACTAGCCAGCAAGTAAGGCTAAAACAAGTATTTCTTTTCACTTACAGCATAACCACTGGATTATCACATACACACACCAAAAAGAAAAAAGAAAAAAAAAAAGTTGAGCATACATTGAAACTTTAAGACAGGTCACAAAATATAAGATAACAAGTCAGAATTTAGAACAGTAACAGACAGAAATCAGAAGAAAAGTTGCTATGGTAACAGAAGTTCTAGATGAAGAACCAAGTCAGGAAGAAACATGGTAGGGATACTGAGGAAAATTCGGGTGTTATAGTTTGCTTCCTGTTCTGTGAGAAATATTATGAACAAAATCAAGTAGGAATGAAAGACATCTCTTTCATTATTCTCCCCCTTCATCCTGCCTCCAACACCCAGCCCTCCCAATCCACTCCCTCAAGTTCCCATTCCTCCATCTCCCCTTCCCCAACCCCCATTCACCCAGGAGATATCCCCCATTTCCCCTTTCCAGGAAAATCCATGCATCCCTCTCAGGGCCCTCCTTGTTATCCCCAGCCTCTCTAGGGCTGTGGACTGTAGATCGGCCATCGTATACTTAACTCCTAATATCCACTTATGAGTGGGTACATGCCATGTGTGTTTCTGGATCTGGGTTACCTCACTCAGGGTGATTTTTGTCTAGTTCCATCCATTTGCCTGTGAATTTCATGCCATTGTTTTTGACAGCTAAGTAGTACTCCACTGTGTAAAGGTACCACATTTTCTTTATCCATTCTTTGGTTGAGGGGCATCTAGGTTGTTTCCAGGTTCTGGCTATTACAAATAAAGCTGCTATGAATGTAGTTGAGCAAGTGTCCTTGTGGTATGATTGAGCATCCTTTGGGTATATGCCCAAGAGTGGTATAGCTAGATCTTGTGGTAGGTTGATTCCCAGTTTTCTGAGAAACCACAACACTGATTTCCAAAGTGGCTGTAAAGGTTTGCACTCCCACCAGCAATGGAGAAATGTTCCCCTTGCTCCACATCCTCTCCCACATGAGCTGTTGCTTGTGTTTTTTATCTTAGCCATTTTGACAGGTGTAAATGGAATCTCAGCTTTGTTTTGATTTGCATATCTCTGATGGCTAAGAAAATTGAGCATCTCAAGTGTTTCTCAGCCATTTGAGATTCTTCTATTGAGACTTCTCTGTTTAGATCTATACCCCATTTTTTAATTGGATTATTTGGTTTGTTGATATCTAGTTTATTGAGTTCTTTATATATTTTAGAGATCAGTCGTCTGTCGGATGTGGAGTTGGTGAAGATCTCCTCCCATTCTGTAGGCTGTTGTTTTGTCCCTTTGATGGTGTCGTTTGTGTTACAAAGAGAGGCTTTTCAATTTGATGAGGTCCCATTTATTAATTGTCTGTCTTAATGCCTGTGCTATTGGTATTCTGTTCAGGAAGTTGTCTCCTGTGCCAATGCATTTGAGATTATTTCCCACCTTCTCTTCTACCAAGTTCACTGTACCTGAATTTATATTGAGGTCTTTGATTCACTTGGACTTGAGTTTTGTGCAGGGTGGGGGATATGGATCTATTTGCATTCTTCTACATGCTGATATCCAGTTAGACCAGCAACACTTGTTGACGATGCTTTCTTTTTCCCAATGTATAATTTTGGCTTCTTTGGAAAATGATAAAATGGGCTGAGAAAGAAATCAGGGAATCCACACCCTTTACAATAGCCTTAAATAAAATGAAATATCGTGGGGTAATTCTAACCAAGCAAGTGAAAGATGTGTATGACAAGAATTTCAAGTTTTTGAAGAAAGAAATTAAAGAAGATATCAAAAGATGGAAAGATCTCTTATTCTCATGGATTGGTAGGATTAACATGGTAGAAATGGCCATTTTACCAAAAACAATCTACAAGTTCAGTGCAACCCCCATTAAAATCCCAACACAATTCTTTTCAGACCTTGAAAGAATAATACTCAACATCATATGGAAAAACAAAAAATCCAGGGTAGCTAAAATAATCCTGTATAATAAAAGAACTTTCAGAAGTGTCACCATTCCTGATTTCAAGCTCTACTACAGAGCTATAGTAATAAAAACCACATAGTACGGCATAGTAGCAGACAGGTGAATCAATGGAATCTAATAAAAGACGCAGATGTAAATTTACACGCCTATGGACATCAGAATGTCGACAAACATCTGACTTCTTAATGGAGACTCTGAAAGCCAGAAGGGCCAGATTGGATGTTTTATAAACTAAAAGAGACCACAGATGCCAAGTCAAACTTCTAGACCCAACAAAACTATTAATCACAACAGACAGAGAAAGAAAACCATTCCACAATAAAAACTAAATTTAAGCAGTATTTGTTTACCAATCCAGCTTTACAGAAGGCACTAGAATGAAAACTTCATGTTGAAGATATTAACCACAACTAAGAAAACACAAGGAATAAATACTACCAGAACAGTAAATCAAATAAAAAGACATAGACTAACAGATTGCATTAGAAAATAGGACCCAGCCTTCTGCTGCATCCAGAAAACATGCATTTCCATCATCTTAAGGTAAGAGGATGGAAAAACAATATTTTAAGCAAACGGACCCAAGAAGCAAGCCAGTATAGCCACTTTAATATCTGACAAAATATACTTCAAACCTAATCAGAAAAGATAGGAAAGGACACCACATATTCATCAAAGAAAAAAATCCAACCAAAAGATATTACAATTCTTAACATTAATGCACTAAACACAAGAGCACCCATGTTCATAAAAGAAACATTACAGATAAAATCACATATTGACCCTCACACAATGATAATGGATGACTTCAATATCCCACTATCATCAATAGACAGGTCACCCATACAAAAACTAAACAGAGAAATATTAGAGTTAAATAATGCCATAAATCAAATAGGTCTAGCAGACATTTATAGAACACAAACACAAAAGAATATACTTGCCTCTTAGCAGCTCATGAAATTTTCTCTAAAGTTGAGCACATACTTGAACACAAAGCAAGTCTCAACAAATACAAGAAAATTGAAGTAATATCCTGCATCCTATCTAACCATCATGGATCCAAGCTGGTTATCAACAACAGCAGAAATTTTATGAACTCGTGGAAACCGAACAGCTCCCTACTGAATGAAAAACAGGTCAAGACATAAATCAAGAAGGAAATGTTGAACTTTTTAGAAATTAATGAAAATGAAAACACAACAAACCTATGGGACACAATCAAGACAATTCTAAGAGGCAAGTTCACAGCCTAGGTGCCTACATAACAAACTGGAGAGGTCTCATGTTGGTAACTTAACAGCACACCTGAAAGCAGACATGTTGATCAATGGAATCAAATTTAAGACCCAGATATGAATCCACATGGCCATGGACACCTGATTTTTGACAAATAAATAAATAAATAAAACACACTGGAGAACACAGAATCTTCAACAAGTGGCGCTGGGCAAATGAATAGCTGCATGTAAAAGAATTAAATCCATATATATAACCCTGCACAAAACTCAACTCCAAATGGACAAAGGACCTCAGTGTAACAGCGGATATCCTAAATGTGATCGAGGTGTATGCAGGGAATAGACTCAAACTCATTGGCACAGAAAAGAACTTTCTGAAAAGGACACCAATAGCACAGGCACTAAGACCAACAACTAATAAATGGGAATTCATGAAGCTGAAAGATTTGTGTATGGCAAACGACACCATCACTCAAGAAAAGTGGCAGGCTACAGAATGGGATAAGATCTTTCCAAATTATACATCCAAAACAGGGTTGGTATATAAATACATAAAGACAAAAAAAAAACCTGGACACTTAGAAAACAACCCAATTTTTAAAATCAGGTGCAGAACTAAACAGATTTTTCAAGAGATGAAACATAAATGACTGAGAAACACTTAAAGAAATGTTCAACATCCTTAGTCATCAGGAAAATGCAAATCAAAACTACTCTGAGATTTCATTTTACACCTGTCAGGATGGACAAGGTCAATGAAACTAATGACAGCTCTTGCTGGTGAGGATGTGGGGGAAGGGTACCACTTATTCATTGCCAATGACAGTGCCAATTTGTACAGAAACTATGGAAAGTGGTGTGTCAGTTCTTCAGGAAGCTGTGAACAGATCTACTCCAGTATCCAGCTATACAGCTCTTCATCCTACTATAGAGACACTTGCTCATCCATATTTATTGCGTTCTATCACAATAGCCAGAAACTGGAAACATCCTAGCTGTCCATCAATGGATGAGTAGATAATAAAGTGTATTTACACAGTGGAATATTATTCAGCTGTTAAAAAAAAAGAATAATGAAATAATGCATGTTTTTTCTTATATGTGGATATTATCTTTTAAGCCTTCAATGTTTATGTATAATACATACAACCACAGACACTAGGTATTAAGTAAGGGACTAGGGGAGAGGGGAGGATCCCCAAGTAAGGATAGTAGAACATAGAGTTATGGAGAGACAGGGGAGAGACTGGAGTAGGAAGACTAAGTGGAGAGAGGGATGCAAGAAAGGATTAAGAGATGAAATATGTGGAGGGACAACTAACATTAAGGGTCATTTGAGGAATCATGTGGAAACCTACTACTGAATAAGTTTTTTTTAATATATACATATATGAAAGAAATCTAAATGGAGTAACCAAATAGTGGAAGAGACAATGCCCCAACTAAATGTCTTTTGCCACCAAGTGAAATTTCTAGTGTCAAAAATGGTTATATCTAGTTGAGTACTGGGCAAAAGCCCCTTGGAAATCCATAAACAACTCAGGCTATTGCCAAGACTATTGTTGGCCCTACACAAACTGATGACGAGGACCTATTTCTGAAAACACTGTGTACATTTCTCTTAGAACATGGAGAAGTCAAACTGGTGCCTAACAAAGCCTTCACCCCTGACTAGTGTTCATGGTACTCAAAGGTGTCATGAGGATAAAGGTAACTGTAACCGCCAACCCAGTTACAAAGCCTGCCATATACAATGATGACCTGCCTGCAAGGTATGCCGGTGACACAAACATTGTGGGGTAAACAACCACTCTCTGATTGGATTTAAGACCCACTCCATGAGATGGAAGTCCTACTTGACAATGCTAGAGTACCCAAGAACCTGAGACTAGCTAGGCCCTGGGCTAGGGGAACACCAGATACTACTGTTCTGCTAAAGGGACATAGCAATGACTTTCCTAATGGTGTTCTACTATACCCATCTATCAATGCTTTGCTTAGCCGTCATCAAAGAAGCTTCTTCATGCAGTAGATGGGCTAACACAGAGGCCCACAAATGGGCAATGTGCAGAGAGTGAGAGATTTGGGAACACTCAGTCTTAAATGGGATATCTTAATCAAACCCCTCCCCTCAGGACTCAGACAACTATACAGAAATGGAGGCAGAAATATAGTAAGAGCCACAGGGGACAGATGACTTCAAGGTAATTGTGTCTTCCAGATACCACAAGACTGATGCATATGTGAACACACAGAGACCGTCATCATACAGACGGCCTACACAGTTCCAAGCCAGACAGGGTCCAAGTGCTGAGAGGGAGAAGTAGGCGAGAACTCCCACCCCTAAACAAGAAGCTATCTGCAATTGACATCCCCTGCAAAAGAAGAATTTGTTTCCCCCAATGAAGTCTCGTTGTGCATATTATCCACATTTAAAGGTATGTTCCATGCCCAGCAGTAGACAGCACACACAAAATGAACTCAATGGTTATTTTTTGTTGTATACTTTTCGTCTCATTTGCTTTATTTGTTTTTGTTTGTCTGTTGTTTGTTTGCTTGCTTGCTTGCTTGCTTGCTTGAGGTTTTTGTTAGTTTTGTCTTGTTTTTTTTTTATCTTACTGGTCTTTTGCTGGTATACCATGGTTTCTGGTGGGTGGAGAGAAGAGTGGCCTCCCTGAATCCTTCAAGCAGAAGGCACTGTTGTAAGTTATCCTTTTGTACAAACTGGACAAAGGCAGCCGGGAAACAAGGGCGGGGAAATGAAAACCATAATCAAGCTCTTAGGCCGTTTTGAAGGGAGGTTGCATAGGAAAGTACAAGGCCTGAAACCACATTCCCTTGAAATAGATGAGCTCTGGACCACTGTTTGACTACACTAAGCATTACCAATAAATTCTCAGCCAGTCTCCATGAAGTGATGTTTGAGAAAGATTAACGGGAGATTTAACAAAAGAAAAAAGAAAGAAAGAAAGAAAGAAAGAAAGAAGGAAAGAAAGAAAGAAAGAAGGAAGGAAGGAAGGAAGGAAGGAAGGAAGGAAGGAAGGAAGGAAGGAAGGAAGGAAGGAAAGAAAGAAAGAAAGAAAGAAAGAAAGAAAGAAAGAAA